GGTGGGGGATAGGGGCCGATTGGTGGGAGGCGCTGGGGGGGGCGGAGGTCAGGAGGGTCTCAGAAAAGAGGGCCCGAGCCCGGAAGGAGGAGGCAGGTGAGGGTTGGGGAGGGGATGCTCGGGTTAGAGTGGTGGTTCTGCTTCTGTAAGCTTGGGGCCTGGGGAGGAGGGCTGGGGGATCCCAACCGACCCCGGGCAAGGAAGAGGCTGTAGGATACGGGGAATGGCGGGGGAAGGGGGTCTGCACTGTTCCTGTGAAGAAGGCTCATTTGAGCGGGTTGGAGGAGGCCGGATAGAGGAAGAAGTGCTCCCAGGGAAGGTTTGGGCCAGAGTCCCTGCTGTTGGGGTAGAAGAGCGGCATTAGGTTCAGGTGTGGAAAGAAGACGGCTTGAAATTTCTGGGTGGTTGGGGCTGGTGCTGTTGGGAGGGGTTCTCCTTAGGAGAAGAGACAGCCAGAGGTGAGAAGCCTAGTAAAGGTTCAATTCCCCAAGTGGCCCAGAGGCTCTAAGAATGGCTTCCCCAAGGCTTCCAGGGCTGTCCATCTCCCCACCACCCCCCAAAAATCCCAGCACTCTCTCTTGGCATTTAATCAGGTACAGCCCCAGGGTCTGGAGCCCCAGGGTCTGGAGCCCCAGGTTCAAATCCTGCTTCTGCCCTTGGCTTGCTCTGTGACCTTGGGCAAGTGGCTTTGCCCCTCTGGCCTCAATTTCCTTTTCTGCAGAATGTTGAGGGGATGTTTCCTACTTGCTGGGGTGTTTATAAACATTAAGTAATAATTAGCTCTAATAATAACTAACATTGTTTGAGCCTGATGCCCAGAGCTTGATGCATGAGTTGTTAATTCCTCCCAACAAGCTGGATGGTTGTTAGACCCACTGTATACATGAGAAAACTGAGGCCCAGTGTCCCTGAGTCATACAGCAAAGGATCAGGAGTGTGAGGAACATGTGCAGAGGACACTTTGAGGGGCTGGCTGGGATTCTTATCCCCATCTGTCCCCCTCCCCAGGCCACTTCCCATCGCCCCAGCAACATGGCATCCTGTGCTGAGCCCCCTGAGCCCACCGCCCTGTCGCCTGCTGGGGTCCCACCTCTTGAGGACTTCGAGGTGCTAGATGGGGTCGAGGATGTGGAGGGCGAGGAGCAGGAGGAGGAGGACGACGATGACCTCAGTGAGCTGCCACCCCTCGAGGACATGGGACAGACCCCACTAGAAGAGGCTGAGCAGCCCGGGGCCCTGGCCCGAGAGTTCCTGGCTGCCATGGAGCCTGAGCCCACCCCAGCCCCGGCCCCGGAAGAATGGCTGGACATCCTGGGTAAGGAGCAAGGATGGCTTGGGTTGACCCCCAGGGCCCAGACAGCTTGGGTTTGGAAGTGACCTTGGCACAGGCCCTCTTGTCCCCTAAGCCTCATTTCCTCATCTCTGCTGTGATGTTTGGAAGTAACGTGGTAACCATGGTGATCTCCAGCCACAGGCAACATCTTGTCCCCTAAGCCTCATTTCCTCATCTCTGCTGTGATGTTTGGAAGTAACGTGGTAACCGTGGTGATCTCCAGCCACAGGCAGCTGCTCGAGATAGTTCATGTTTATGAACCCCATTCATTCACACATGCACACACACGACGTGCTGTGTCCCTGTTTCCCAGAGCTGCTAGCAGCGACCCAGAGAGGCTGAGTCATTTGTCCAGAGCCACACAGCCAGCACACCAGGCACTGGCAGCTCCCAACCCCCACTGCATCTTCTCTCTGCATTTGTCTGACACATGCCCTTCCCCTGAAAAATTCATCTTGAGGCCAATAGATCTGGGGAATGTCCTATTTTGTTCAGCCCTCTGGCTGGTTCACAGTATTCATTAGCATTCTAAATGCTCAGAGAAGTCCTGCAAGAAAGAAACTAGGTAAAGCCACACAAGGACCCTATCACAGCAACTGAAAACAAGAGAGACATTAGTATTCCGTGGAAGATGTGCTGCTCCAGTACTGATGTCTGATATGCTAAATACTGCTAGTGCCTACACAAATAATGGTAAAATATCATTATCAGTATCACTAATACTAGTAATACTATAACAATAGTTTTGCATAATACTGACAGTGATAAAACAGAAATGTTACTACTAGTATGGCCACCATGACTAATAAAAATGTTACTATTTCCAAAACTAACACTAGGTAATACTTAATAGGCACTGATTCTGTGCCAGGCCTGTGCATCACCTTATTTTATCTTTACAGGAAGTTTCTGATGTCATTTCTGCCATATCTCCATTTTACAGATGGGGAAACTGAGGCTCAGAGAGATAAAGGTGTTTGCCCAAGGTCACATAGCCTCCCTGGCTCTATCAGAGTTTGGGAAGCTGTTCTGTACTGATACTACGAGTGAGAGCTGCCCGCTCCCTGGCAAACACTGGGTTGGCTCTGTGTTTACATTTGTGCCAGCCACTCTCTGAGGCCAGAACTGGAGCTTTCATTTTCCAGACACAGAAACTGAGACTTCGAGAGGGGATGTGGTTTGCCCCATGTCCACCCTGATGAAAGGCAGTGCCTGGTTGTGACCCTTCCAGTGCATCCATCCTTAGTGCCCAGAAACCTCAAGACATGGGTCCGTGGGGATCTGCTAGCTTGGTGGTTCCCAGACTTGTTGGGGGGCACATACAAGTTGAGGAGCAGCACAGAAATTTGGAATACTCTAGAATATTCTAGAGCATGTATGGATACGCACTGTTCCTAACCTTTAGGCCAGGCTCCCCTCAGACTAGTGAAGTATTCTAGATCAATATAACATTGCAGAGCACAGGTAAACATCAGAACAGCATACCCCAGAGGTTTAGCCCTTGCTTCTCTAACGCTCTGTTTCGTGGACACCTCGGGAGCGCCCGGATGAAGGCACAGGGCTGTGTGTCCTGGGCCAGGTTGCTTGCCCTCTCTGTGGCCTCTGTTTCATGCTCTGTCAAATGTGGGCTCCGGTGCTGATCGCCCCAGTGGTTGCCTGGGATGGCAGTGGGTGTCACAGTTATTGGACTCCCTGAGTGCATTCACCAGAGCACTGAGCCTTGTGCCTGGCTCTCAGATGGCATTGGCTGTGGCTGTTTGGTCATTCCTGTGATTGCTTGGGATGCAGAGAGATACTCCAGCCAAGGTGGCTGAGGGAATAGACAGTGGTCTTCGGGGGATTATGAGGAGTATCGGGCTGCTTTTGCTCATAAGCTCTTTGGCTCTGTTTGACGTCGAACTTTTTGTTTGTTTCACTTTTAAACTGAGCGCACGTAGTACTTTGGTAGAGATGTACTTATGGCATCTTGGGTACTCTGCTAACCAAGCTAACACACACTGGGTGCTACCAGGAGGCCCCGCAATCACCCCATTTCATGGCTGGGTAAACTGAGGCCCAGACATCCTAGAGCTGGGATTCGTTTTTTTTTTTTTTTTTTTTTTTTTTTGTGACCGGTAAGGGGATTGCAACCCTTGGCTTGGTGTCGCCCACACCGCGCTCAGCCA